ATTATAGCATTTTAAAAAATATATTAAAAATATTTTAAAAAATAAACAATTGTTTTTGTAATTTTTGTTAGTTTTTTATTTCTATATAACTTGAATAAAATGATTTGTAGTAGTTAACAATGATTTAAATGTGGTTCACAAAGTGTTTCAAATGCATTTAGGAAGTTACAATGGACCAACCAGCTGTTTTTCTGTTTTTCTCAGAACACTCAGGTCACAGAGGCCTGGAACAAGATTGCCCAATCATTCAAATGCATGGCCATCGAGGGTGAGCTGACCAAAACCTGAACTCATCTCTGTTGAAGCATAATAACATGGTTTTAAAGCTCCTTCTGTCTCTTTACACAGGCATGCTGTCTCATCAGTTAAAGCAGCACGTCATTGATGGAGAGAAGACCATCATTCAGAACCCCACCGACCAGCAAAGGTCAGGATAATGAAGAGCTAGATTGTTTTTGAAAATGATTGAGTATTACTCTGTTTAATGCTCTCTGTCCTTGTCTGCTCTTAAGGAAGGACCACGAGAAGGCAGAATTTGAAGTGCATGAGGTGTATGCTGTGGACGTGCTCATTAGCACTGGAGAGGGAAAGGTGAAGACTCATCTTGGCATCAACTGTTCCCTTGATGTGCGACAGATAGCTGATCACAGTGCTCTCTTTCTCCCTGCAGGCTAGAGACTCCGGGCAGAGAACCACTGTTTACAAGCGAGACCCCAGCAAGCAGTATGGACTGAAGATGAAGACCTCCAGGGTGTTCTTTAGTGAGGTCGAGCGGCGATTTGATACCATGCCATTTACTCTGAGGTAATGAGGTTTATTTTTATTATCACTAGTTAAAAGTTAGTTAAACTTGCATTTAAAGAAGGGCAGCCACTTAAAAATAAAATGAAGAAATCCATTATTAAAGGGGAGGTAAAGCTTTTAATGAAACTTGGCTGTCTGTGCAGTAGAATTGTTTTTGAAATCCATGCTACTTAACTAGAGAAAAAAGGTACGTACAATCTGTAGTTTTTGCAAAAGCCCTCCAAAAAGCCGTTTTGTTACCCTTTAATTCAATAATTCAAAAGTAAAAATATGAAAAGAGAAATCACTTACAAATTTATAAATGTATAATAAATATTTATATTAATTCAAAAAGTCAATTCAAATATTGCTTAAATTGAATAAAACATTTTAAAATCAATTTAGTACCAAAGAATTGTTTTTTATGATGTTTAAATAGCTGTTAATGTTAATATATTTTAAAGTGCATTTTATTCCTGTGATGAAAAAGCTGAATTTTCTGCATCATTACTCCAGTCTTCAGTGTCACAGGATCCTTCAGAAATCATTCTGATATGTAGGTTTACTGCTCAAGAAACATTCTTATTATTAATGTTGAAAACAGCTGTGCTGCTTTATATTTTGTGCAAACCGTGGCACATTTTTCAGGGATCGTTGAATATAGAAAGATCAAAAGAACAGCATTTATTTGAACATAAATGTCTATCCTGTCACTTTTAAAGATATATATTTTTTGGCATGTATTGCCTTTTATTAGGACAGGACAGTCACTTTGACAGGAAGTGAAGTGGGAGAGAGAGGGGATGGGAGTTTGGGAAAGGTCCGCGAGCTGGGACTTGAACTCGGGACGCCTGAAGCGCTGCCCACGAGGGTTTTGGCGCCGACTTTACTGTCACTTTTGATCAATTTAATGCATCCTTGCTGAATAAAAGTATTGATTTCCTTCAACAACAACAAAATCCTACGGGCCCTTTTTGAATGCTAATGTATAAATGATATAAATGCATTATATAAATATATAAACATTAAATTGTTAGACCAGGTCGCATTCACGTTAATGCATTTGACAGTGTATTCAAGCTATATGTTTACGTGCCAATCAGATGTATGACTTTGAAGTTATTCGTATCTCAAATGAAAGTGCATGGCACAAAACAAACTCTTCACCTCTGTTGCTCATCACATTTCGTTGTGTCTCTCTCCTTGTGTTTCTGTCTTTGTGTGGTCTGGTGTCTGTGCTATCAGGGCATTTGAGGATGAGAGTAAAGCTCGACTAGGAGTGGTTGAGTGTGCCAAACACGAGCTGCTTCAGCCCTTCAATGTCCTGCATGAGAAGGAAGGTGAGGCATTAGTACCACAGTCATAAAATTTCACTTTTATATGTAAAACCTTCAATCAAGCATGAAGATGATAGGGTTAAACCTTTGCAACGAATCACTAAATGGAAATAAAAAATAATTTCCTGTCACGCCGGTGCTCATTTGCACATTTGCCGCATGACCAGGTCAAAGACTGTTCTTATTTTAGAAGTTTGGTGCCATCAGCAAAGTCTCGAGAGTCACATTGTCAAACCTTCTGTCTCTTACACATCTTTTCTTTCAAGGTGAATGTGTAGCACAGTTTAAATTCACGGTGCTGCTCATGGCAAACGGCCCTCTGCGTATCACCAGTGGACCTTTTGATCCAGAGCTTTACAAGTCTGAGCATGAAGTACAAGACCCAGAGCTCAAGGTAAGAAAACGAGGGGTTCTGGTGTTACATACAGGGAACTGGTATGGAAGTTATATTGGAGGTTTATTAGTTCATTAATTAAAAGTTAATATTTACAGAATTTAAAGAAGTATTATTTAAAGAATTATTGCATTTTTTATTCTGCTTTTTAAGGACTAGTTGGAAATTTTATTTTATATATGTAAATATTCTAATAATAGGTAGAAGGAACCCAAGTATGAATATTTGTCAAAGTATGAAAATTATTTTCAAAAATAAAATAATTATATGATAGTAACATTAAAATAATGTTAATAAAACATTATTGCCAAAATTAAAGTATTGATTTCTCAACTTTTAAATGATTCATTTTTACGAAACAAAAATGAAACAATCGTATTTCAGCTGCAGAAAGATGTCAGTATAACAGAGCTTGTAAACAATGTCACATAATGTCACATTTACCTCAGAAAAAAAGTGTATTTGCTGACCATAAACTTATTTGCCAGCTAGAAAAATTAACTCGAGAGGAGTATTTAGCTAAATATATGCACCATATAACATATTCATTATCATTTTTACTGCTCTTCAATATTTAATTTATTATAACTTCATTTAGTGTAATTTAAGTGTTTATATACAAATCAGTTAATTTTAACCTTCAATATTAGAGTAATGTAATGTAGTACCAACTGACTCATGTATATTTTACAGAGTTAGCTGTTTTTTTACCCTTGATAATTTGCTATGTTGTACATGATATATATCCAAAATGATCAGAATCGAATCGAAAGCTTGTGAATCAAAATTTCATTGAATCATGAAATTTGTGTCAATGCCTAGCCCTAATGTTGCCTATAATTCAATATCATTCATTATTAATTAATATAATAATAATATAATTTTTTTTATATATTTTAGTAAGCGAACAAGGGACAAACATTTAGGGGCCGTTGGCAAAAAAAATCCTACTCTACGTAATTGAATTCTCCAGTTGATTTTTGCATTCAAGATTTACTGGCAATGTGTTTTATTATTTGCAGGCATTGTTGCAAAGCTCAGCCAGCCGCAAGGCACAGAAGAAGAAGAAAAAGAAGGTTTGTTGTGTCAGCATCCACTTTCCCCATTTCTAATGGCACTTTGTGAATATGAAACCGTAATTGCAAAATTTTTCTTTTCCCAGGCATCCAAAAATGTGGAGAGTGCCACAGGACAACCAGTGGAGGCTGAGAGCGAAGCTGCTGCATAGACTCCCACTGCCAACCAAGCTGACTGACAGAGCCTCTGCACAGCCCAAAGAACAGAACCGTTAAAGCTAATTATGACCTGCCCCACTGAGAGGCCTCCGGCCAAGCCTTCTGTCTTTTTGAATACCTCCTCATTCGTTACATAAGACTGCTACAGGGTTTGTGCAGTTTACTTGCGTTTGGTTGTCTTTGAATGCGGCTGGGAGTATGCGGATGAGCAGGTAGATACTGTCCAACCGTGTTTACAGGAGGCGAGTGCTGGGTTTTTTTTTACCCTCTCTGTCATTGTACAAGCCATCATGAACAACAAAAGTGTAATGGTGGCACTCTTAAGGAAGTTTTGCTACAAAGTGCCATTCATGTCCATGCAGATGAGATCCCTGTTTGAGGTCTGTTAAAGGTTGAGTTTTTGTCAGTTGGGAAATGATCATAATTTGTATTGATGACCTGTAATGAGTCTTTGGAGCGGTAACAGCCTTACTAAACCTTAAATATAGCAAACCAACTACAATGGAAGCACTGTTAATCAATTTGGTAAGCTTTGATTTCTGTTAGATGACATTCAGCATTCGTTTTCTAGTATTTCCAGAATTGTGAAAATGCTTTTCCAGAGTCTGTTTCGATGTAGATCTTTCCTTCAGCTTATTGGTCCGACTTCTCAAACCATTGTTTATTGATTTAATTGACTGACCAAATTAACCTGTCATTTTATAAACGTACATCTAATAAATTTAATTAGCCAATTGATGGATCCAAGCCTGGTTTGTTTGTTTAAACTCAACAAATATCACAAAATGTATTCATCTATCAGAATGCAGCAGTCATATGGCACACAGAAAATATTATGAGTGCCATTAGACACAAAATGTCAAACCCAGTGTCATCTGCAAACCAATGACATACCTATAAGGAGATCATTTAACTTAACCAACTGGTCACACGGCAATTTAACGGGAACCATGGAGTTATTTCCTGTCTAGTTCGCACAGGTGTGCTAGTAGAGTATCCACAAGTTTAGTTCATTTTAACTATCGATATATTCTACTAAGTTTGACATCTAAAAAGTGTCGAAATACAATTCCAGAGAGAAAAGGCGAAAGGGAACTGGATTCGTAACTCGCGCGCTGTTCTCTCGCGCACAGCCGCCCACACGTGAAGCGCGGATCCGTGCATCGGGTCTTAAAGGGACAGCGGCTTATAAATACTGCTGTCATTAATGATCATCAAACAACAGAGCAACTGCAAATAGTATATTCCTGCACAACCGGAGGCTGCAGTTTCAGGACAGCAGTTCTAGGACCCTATGCTTTTGTAACAGCGCTACCTACCGAATTGGATCACTAAAGATGGACGACATGCACAGCAGTCGGAGTGAGTAACTTTACCGATTTTCATTTAAGTTTTATTTTATAACCTTAAAACGATGCAAAGTTTACGAAGCCAACGTGAGAACTGCTAAGAAATAATAATGAATTCCCTATTGCTAGTTTTATTGATTATTACGATGTTCTTAATTCGTGGCCATGATTTAATTAAGCTAAACCTTGTTGACATAATGACTACAATAAGTCAATCTAGCCAGCACATTAATTAAACTTAAAAAGATGATAAAAGCATGTTGATGTGTCAGATTTACCTGTAGCTTACTGTATTAGTGTGAAAACGTGTTTGATACTCATTGTTTTTGCATATTAGTTAAGTATAAATCATCGTTCATAATTAAACTGGGCTCATTGCTTGGTTGCACCACAATATGTGTTATTAGCCTGTCCCTTTGGCAGTACTTTAGATGAATCTTGTTGATGTTTGAAAGGCATGGTCAGCGGTTTGCCTTCTGGACTGATGAGGCCAGAAACTTGCTCCAAGGAACTCTTCAGCCAGTGTACAGAGTGCTATCTCAGAGGAAATCCACATCCAGGCTGTCGATGACCACACCGCAGAGGTAAAGAGACTGCTGGACTTCATTGTGACGTTACAGGGATCTGAGGAGCATTTAGTGGTACTTAAACAATGTTCACATTTAATCATCATTACAAACAAACTCATAGTAAGGGCCTTAATTAGGAATAACATTAACACTACCTTTTAACTATGCTGCAAATTATTGTATCTTTATCTTAAATGTATCAATTTCCTCAAAATAACAGTTTTTTCACCATGGTTTGCCCATAGGGTGTACTCAACGGGAAGCCCTCTAAGTGGTCTCATAAGCTAACCGCCTCCCGAGTGCCTGTCTACCTCGACAGTGAGGAACAACTGTCCTGTTTACCGATCTGAGAGGAGTGCTGCAGAGGACACCAACACAACTGAGCTTCACAAATGACGTGCAGAGGTATGCCAGACCATGTAATGTGTTTGCGAGTGTCCTGCTCCTGCACTTACAAAATCTACTGTATAAACTGCATGCTGGTGCTACTCGTGTATGGACCAATGTATAATGGCTTGCTGTTCAGTACTGCTATAATAGTATACTTAAATTAACTGTTTTTT